TACAGCAGAAAAGATATCTGTAACTATTTGTCATCGAAAAGGCATGATATTTTTTCTTCATTAATTACAAAAATCTAAGTGACAAGCTTCTGATGATAATAATCCAGGGAGTTAGTCGTACATTCGTCTGCGAACATAGAAAAGAAAGAACTCAGTACTCACAAGTGAAAGTTTTTGAATTTGTTGAGTAAGTTAATAGCTTTATCTTTCAAATCTCTTCCTTCTTCTTTGACTACATTTCGAATCGTCGGTGTGTGTGCGCTGACATGTCATTATCGAGTGTGTTACATCGTTTATATATTTTCTGTTGATAATAGAGAAGACTGATCAAATGTATGTGAAGATGAAAAGTGTGTGTGTGGACATATTGAATGTGAGAAGACCTAAAGCGTTTTCATACAGATGTAATTTTGTCTATACGACTATGATGATTAGTGTAGCGTGTGCAAAATAGGAAAAGAGAGAAAGTGAAGATGATAACCGATACATTACGGCGAGACAAACGAGGCGGAGGTGACAGCTGCTATCGCTTTCTTTCATTTAAATTGAATTTATCCACAGGTTATAGTAGATACGAATAAACCGAAGAGAATCGATTGATATGTTTTTGTTATTTGTTTGTCTTTTCGAAGTATACAACACGTTAATCATAAAAATTTTAATCGGTTTAATCGATAATTCTATTAAGTACGTTTATCTTCGGACATTTACATTTTTACATTCTCTAGTTTAGATAAGATTTCGACTTGAACAGTATTCGTGTAAACTAGAACATATTCTGTATGATTTACGTAATCGATGTAGAGTTATCAATGACATCCATTAGTCTCTCGATAAGTATTCTTCTCTGACCTCGATTCAACACCATCACATTGGGTTTTGTCTGCATAACGATTGACTCTTTTGTTGAGAATATACGTCATTATCTATTAACAGACGTAGCTTTACCTTCGATCGTTCAATAGAAGAATCATCGCTTTCCACCTTCCTATTTCTTTTTGTTTCATGTCAATCAAGGTGACAAGATATGCCTTTGATATGATTATTATTTATCGTATTTATCTCTGACACTTTAGATAATTAGAATTTATATAGACGCAGATATATCCAATCTAAATCTCATATACACATAATGTCTAATACATGTCGACTGCAATTATCGTCATTTAAATATAAGTCAATTTCACTTCTTGATCCTCTTGAATATTCTTTTCGCGTAAGATGATGCAATAAAAAACAGAGAAAGAGAGAGAGAGAGAGAGGGCAACGAAAGAAGCGACGAGAGAGAAAAGAAATACATATATCGATCGTCATATAAGACGTATTCATTGAATATGACATATCCATTTTCTGTGAAAGTCAAAATTTCAGGTAAAAACAAAAACACAAATTCAAGGATTATTGATCTTCATAAAACTTTTTATTCCTCCTTTTCGCAAATGTAATTTGACACCAGAAGATTTCTAGTGACAAAATAGTACCGACGATGTGGGATTAACGTGAGAAAGAATGTCTATGAGAAGACGGCGGTGATTAGTGAACAACATCAATTTGTTTCAGCTTTATTTTTTAATGATTACATTGATGTTTATATGTTTTTTCTGTTTCAGATATATACAAATGCATAATCGACGTCAACTATGTACTTTTCTCAGCTTGTTATTCTCGTTTGTAACATGTCTGTCAAACTAAATAAGAATCATTTGAGACGATGATGATGATGATGATGCAAGAAGTATTTCACGATGATTCGAATCGATCAATGAACTATACAAAAATTGATCATTGTCAAGATAATATTTCGATTGATAATGATGACTATTACAAACAGATTATACATTCAACTAAACAAAGACATTCTAATCAAGAGATTAAACTACAGATAATCGTAGCAAATCGGATTCACTTAATTTTGTTTATATTTTTATTCTTAACATGCCAAACATCTTCTTTACCTCTCTATCAAACACCTTCAGGTAAACTTTCTCATCGAAGAAGTTGTTTGTATATGTTTTCTTTGTAGTCAATTACAATCAACAAGGATTGCCTGCTGCTATGGTTCAATTATCTGATGGTTCAGTCTATCCTCAACAAGCATACAAAGTTTATCGACGTATTCCAAACCAACAAATGAACGCTATTCCGATGTATTCGAATGCAGTTGCAGTACAAGTTCAACAACCTCCAACAGTAGTTCTTCAAACTCCTAATCAACAACAATTCACATTACAAATAAGACGCGAACGACAACGTCGAGCAATGATTGATAGAATGGTGACATTATTCGATGATGATGGTTCGACATTTTTCAAATACTTCAGACTCATTTCTATGAGATTTTGTTTAGGTAATGGCCAACTAACGAGAGACGAGTTATATTCAATGGCTTTACGTTCAAATATCTTTCCAAAATTTCATTACTATTTGAAACAGACACCGATCTAGACGATTTCGTTTGAGTTAGGTTTTCAAATACTGCTAAGACTACTACTGGATTTGCACGTGGTCCTATGTTTTTGTATAGTGTGTTCTGCTTTCTCCTTTGTATTTACTGTTGCTACGTCTTCTTGTCCTGTTTTTTCTTTCTTTCTTTCTTTCGAGCAATATGGAATGAAGAGATGAATTAGAAATGTACGAGGAAGAAATGTTTGATCAACGAAAAGGAAACTTCGTATGGAAATTATTTAAAAATAACGAGTGGGAGAATCGAATGTTTGATTCGGTACTGATGGTATTGGTGTCGAACACAGTGGAACAGTGTTTGTAGAACATGGTGTATAGTAGGATGTATTAGTTTGACAATTATTACTGTTATTTGTGCAGCAATCTACTGGACAGCATGCATCACTCGTTGTTTGAGTCCATAGTTGAGCTTCCTGAATGTCGTTCGGATTCGACATGAGAAAAGATCTAGGACAAATGACGAAGAAAGTTAAGCGGCGAAACAGTACATCTTTTTTTACTCTTTTGTACGGTCATTGTTCTTCGATTGATGTTCTGCTCGTTTCTTATTCTCATAACATCGTGCAAAAATAGCCCGATCGTAATTAAGAACTCGATCCTTTTGTGTGGAGAGTTGATTATCATAATAAAAATTACCGTAAGACATATTTGTTGTTTTGTATCGTTCTGCCGGTCGACAGATACAAGCAATCGTTGGATTGGAAGCAATCTTATCACAATTAGATGAATATACGGTCTTGTACAGTAGTTGAAGTGGGCGAAAGCAACTAGATGGAGTGCATTCATTCATATTATTGTTGATCGAACTGTTGCAGCAGTTCGAATAGGAATACATTGTGTTACATGGCTTGTAGTTGTTTGACGAAAGGCAATTATTAGTCGAATTGTAAGAAAACATTAGTGTTTGTCGAGATCGAAAGAAAGTAACAAGATTTCGATTACGAAAAGATGAGTTTAAGTTCGAGAAAAAAAATGAAAAACTGATTGAAGGCGCGTGAATACAAAAACTTGCAAGAAAACTTGAGTAATTCAGCATTGAAATCTATCCAAGTGAACTAATGCCATCTATTAAGATCAAATTTCTCTCAAAATCTTCCAATCCGTACGCGTATTTACGTATTTTACTACTAAGAACCTATTTCCGTCGGTTAAATTCTTTCAAAAGACAAGATTTATTCGATCATGGGAACCAACGCTGAATTTAATCTTCGTTTCACGAAGAAAATGATCGAAAGAGAAGCATCAACCGCTGAGAAAAAGTATGAAACAAGTCGGAAGAAAGCATTGGATGCTTTGAAGAAATCAGGTGATATGGAAACAGCTCGTATCTACGCGGAAACAGCTGTTCAAAATCGAACAGCACACAATCAATTTTTAATGATGGCATCACGAATCGATAGCGTCATTGCTAAAGTAATCGAATTGAAAAAATAACGAATGATATCTTTCAATACTTTCCTTCAGGTTCAACAGGCAAATGCGCAGAATTTAATGATGAAAAATATGAGTCAAATGAATAAGATGCTGGAAAGTGTGAATAAGGAAATGAACGCTGGTGAATTATCGAAAGTCATGGATAGATTCGAACAAGTAAGAATCAGTTGTTTTCATGAAGATTCGAGAGAATGTACTGTTTACTGAATCCTAGGCATTTGAAGAATTCGATGTGAAAGAACAAGTGATCAACAGAGCAATGAATGAAGTAATGGCTACTAGTACACCAACGGAAGCTGTTCAAGATCTTCTACGTCAAATTGCGGATGAAAATCATTTGGATATTCGTGCTCAACTTGATGCTATTCCAACAGTTCAACATTCAGTTGCTACACCAGCTCAACAGGAAGCTTCGGCACAAAGTAGTCGCTTAGCTGCTCTTCGTCACGCTATTTAATATAACTGCTTGTGCTTGACATAAACACTAACATGTCTATTTGTATTTCTTGGATCAGTTCGTCAGATAATTGTATTTTCTTCTGTAACAAAACAACAAATTTCTTCCTGGTCAGATTCGATTAAAGATAAAGATATCAATAACATTTCGATGTTTTTTGTTTTTTCGAATTTTACATAATGCTGATTGGAAAGATATACTATAGATAATTATCGATAGTGAATAATTACAGATGTATTTTGTTTAACTGCATTCACGGCGTCATATTTAGCGAACGTAAATGACTCATTTCATTCACCTATTTCCACCGTTTTTTCCCATTGCTATTAGATTCTATAGAAGTTAGTACTTACTTCCTATGAATGTTCGTAAATAACTTATTTTATTTTAATCGAATATCTTCTCATCATTTTACTGACGATTTTATCCATTATTCTGTCATATTCCTTTGATTTGTTGGTTTTTTCCCTGTCGATGACGTCGTGCAGTTAAACATGTGAGCTTAAAAGTCATTTTCGCGCATACAGAACGACATAAAAACGAGGTTGTTTACATCGAAGGTGCGTTTTTTCTTCTTCTGCCTTTTATGTCGACATATCTTGGTAGTCAGATTAAAAAGTTTTGAAATAAGATAATTCTGTTTTAGATGACAGTACCATTTTCTGACTACCGATTGTTGCCGGTAGAGGATATCATTCTAGCGAACGTTCGCGTGGATCACGTATGAGTCTCACTGACACGAAATATTTTTTCTTTCTATTTCTATTTCTTTATAGATCCCAGAAGATTTGACTAGTTTATTTGGTGCATTGACACCCCTTTATTTGATATTCTCGCGAGGTGCAACTGATGGAATACGTTTAAGTCAAACGATTGTCAGCGATCTTAAAAAAAAAGTAGTTTGAAATCTTTACTTGGTTGGCAGGATGATATCGATTTCTTTTGCTGTAGACGAACACATTGTGTTTGTTGGAATATGTTGGCTATCGATGCGAGACAGATGATCACTATGTCTATCGATCTGAGACATCGTATGACGAAACAGTGCGACGTCAAGAGGGAGCAGAAGAGTTTGTAAAGTTTTTCAGCTACTTAAAAGCTGCGAAAAGCGAACCTGTGGATAATTTAAAAGAATTCCTTCAAGTAAAACCAGTCTTTACGATGAGTATACAATTCAATGCTCGATTTTTATTCTAGAAACATTCCTCGCAATACCGTACAACATCTTCTGTTGTAAGACTTATGCTTGGTTATTCATAAGCTCAGATATTTCTCCTTTAGCGCACTCCACTCACTGCCGACGAGATCGAAAGAGAAAACAAAAATGCTCTAGAAATGTTTCAGTCATTCAAGGTTAAGCTTGTTGTCTGATATTCTTAAGAAGAACTTTATTTCGTCGTAGAAAAGTCTCGTAACACCATACAATTCATCGCCCTCATCGGGTTTCATTCGTCGACAGCTGGCGATACTTGTTTTGAAACAGCTTTCATCAAACCTCGACTGTACCACTGACGACATTGATGGAAAACTAGATCAATATATAATCGAATTAAAGAATCGACAGCAACCAACGAGAGAATGTCGAGCAGATGAAGTCTATATCGAGTGTCTTATTCGATCAAACTTTGATATAAATCGAGCTGTCGGCATGCTGAATCACTATCCGCCGAATTTAGTATGTTTTATTCGATGTCAATTACTTGTATTCTCTTTCGTTTTGATGTTGCTCAGACTCCGCGTACAGAACAACCTATTCCACAAGAACCAGTCGAAGTATTCTCAAAAGATGCCAAAGTATATCTATCCAAATATTCTGGCTGGTCGACTACATCGTTTGATACGAATAACAACAAGATACAAGCATCACTTGAGCAAGATGTAAGTATTAGCAACGACTGAAATGCAACTTCTATTAGTATTCTCATTTAGAAATGGAATGACATTGAATATCTGTTACTAGCCATTCAACATTTACACCAAAAAAATGACGAAAAATCAGTAGATGAAGAATTTGTTTCGGTATTTCGACAAAGAAGACTTTTTTCTAAACGTAGTTATGTTTTTGTATAGAAAATGTTCCGATTAATTCATTCGGAATTATCTCATCTGATTGGTGATCAAGTACCAGTTAAACTTGAAACACTTGCTAGAATTCTATGTGAACGTTCGGGCGAAGTTATCGAAAACTTGGACGTAGAAACGTTGAAGAATATCCTGACATCGGTAGAATTCAACGATAATTTCATACAGAATACAATAGCCTGCTTAGAATTTACTTGTTCAATGTGCACTGGCTCATATCCACGAACGAAAATAGAAGCAATGCTTCTGTGCGAGCATAGCTTCTGTTTCGATTGTGTCAAACGATACTATCGGGTGAAAATCTTTGAGATAACGGATGAGAATTCATTAAAAATGTTCACGTGTGTCGAGACTCCTGTTGAAATCGCGTCCGACCGACGATCGAACTTCTTACCTTGCTTGTTTTCGAAAGTATGTTTTGACAAACATCGAAATATATTTTTAGAAATCTTTCTTTAGATTAATCAATGGTTCAAAGATGATCCCGAAGCTCTTAGAAAGTGGGAACGCGATTCTTTAATCGCATTAGCTGGCGAAAGAATAAAAAAATGTGGTAGTTCAAAAGTAAATATATTTGCGTGTAAATTTCGATGTCTGGTTTTGGTTTCTGATACTTTAGTGCACCGGATACTATTACTCCGATAACGATGATACCGTTGGTGTTGCTCGTTGTCAAGAATGCAACTTCGCTCAATGTCGACTTTGTGCGAAAAAAGTGAGTAACTGGTTTTATAATTAATTTACTTGACATCTCTCTTGAAATCCAGTGGCATGCGGAACATTCGACTATGAATTGTGATGAATACACGGAATGGTTAATTGAAAACGATCCTGATGATGAAACCGTGCGAGCGTTGAAGATCATAAGCGATACGGCTATTGTATGTCCAAAATGTGAACATATTTATCAGTAGTATGTTAATAATATGACGAAATCAGTTGATAGGGTTTGATTTTTAGTGAAGCGGGAGGCTGCGAGCATTATACGTGTTTGACTTGCAAGACAGATTTTTGTCGTATGTGTTCCACACTCTTCTATTCACCTTCCAAAGAACCGGTATTGATTTATCAAAAATATATAGATTCAGAAATAGACATGGATTTTCTTTAGAAATGCAACAAAGAAAATTGCACTTTAAAGAGTACGATTCACGCACATTGCGCTTGGAATTGTTTTCGTGAAACTCGTATTGCTGAAATTCAGACAATTCACAAAGTATTAGAAGTAAGTATCGTGCTTTGTTTTCTTCGTAGAATATATTTTTTCGTCTTCAAACAAGGATCAAGAAGTAGACATAGATGCAGAATTGGAAAAAATTGCCGAAACACAACAAGAAAAATGTCCAATTAGTGGATGTGACAAAAAAACATCACCCATCAGCGGTGGTCGACTATGCGAGTATGCGTTCTCTATTATTTTGTCATTGTGATTGGTGTTATCTTTATTCATCAGGGTTTGCTATAAGCATTTTCTCTGTTCTCTAATATGGCGTTTTCAAATTGAGCCTTGGTATGTAATTAAAACAAGAAACAATATTTATCAAACTCATCTGTTTCAGGGATATTTATGAAGATAATAATCTACAGCAAATGCTGACGAAATCATCCGTTACTATTCCGACAGATTGTAATCGAAATAATTTAATTGCAGTATGTGATGTTATTCGTGAGAAATAGTTTTTGTTAATTTGTCTTTCCTTTCAGTTGTGTAAAGATAAATTAAAACAATTACTGGGTAAGCCGAAAAAATTGAAGAAACCTAAAGTATAACGCCTGGTGATTTCGGAATACGACGGTTAAGACAGATGTTTGCAACTTTTTTGTTAAATTTTTTAATGGTCTTTAAAAAAGTCGGTTTTGCATATTTATGTTATTTGTAAAAAGAAATATACAAAAAACGATACCTAATATTCTAGATTTGATATTGATTGCTGTGATCTGAAGAGAAAAAGAATTATTCATTATATTTCTTCTTACCGTTTTGCTCTTTGAGAACGAATGGCCACTGGTAGAGGTTACAGAATTATGAGTTCTACTTCATCATCATTTGATCGAACGAACAGCACTCGGTGGAATTCGGTAAATATTAAAATGTATACTGTTTGAATGATGTTCTTTGAGAACTTGTTCAATTATTGAACGCAGGTTCTACATACCAACAATTTTATTTTCCTCATATGTTTAGCCACATCGAACTTGTTCACTGAATTCGTGTGAATTACGTGATCAAGATCAAATGACTTTGAATATTATTAGTAAATTGAAAGTAATCCATTAGTCTCGCCTTTGATGTGAGTGTAACTGCGATTTTCAGGCGAGGATTCAACGACATCAGCGGATTGATCGCTCGACAATTGAATCAGAAGTCGTTGATATCAAATATGAAATGGATCCTCATCGATATGATATCAACCAATGGAGAAAACAACTATCACTCAACATGTCGAACTGTCCTGATCGTATTTTACGTGAATCAATGGCATACAGTGATGATCCTCACAAAGCACAGTCCATCATAGCAAAAAAGTCGAATGAAACAAATTCAAATCGAAATCCTGTTGAATCTTCACTTAATAATCTTACAGACTATTTAACGACACTTCGGGATGATTTAAAAGCGAATCCATTGACAGATCTGTTTAGTACTGTTTACAATGTCAATGATAGCGATTCGGACGTAATGTTTTGTCCTCTGAAGTCTAGACAAAGCGATTTCTCCTGATGGAAATTTTCTTTTTTTAGCGTATCAATCGTTTATTTCTCAGCGAAGCATTACATTTCTGTCCTGCCCTTTCACATTATACTTGCAATGAAGCACATGCCGCAGTGCAAGGAATCCGTGCAGTAAACTATCATTTAAACGAGCCTGATGATCTTCTTGCAATTCTTAAAACATGCCATTCATCTGATGAGGTTCGACAATATTTAGAACAACGATTGTCAAAGTCAATCGACCATTCAGTAAAACGAATTTGTTCATTTCCAATCAATTGAAAACACTGAAATGATTCTTTTAGCATCTATCGACATATTCAACATCACAATCCTTCGATTATCATCGTCCAAATCATTACAATTCTCCAAATAATGTCGATTAATCATTAAGTAAGGTGAAATAAAGTTTTTTTTCATTATATCTTGAATTAAAGATCATATTTTTTCTCTGATTTTCTTTTAGAACCGCTTACCACAAGTGCTGAATATCTTGACAAAAACCTAGAGCATAAATCAAAAATAATTTATTAATCAATGTTATGTATTGTATATTTTTGAAATTAAAAAAAATTGTTTCAAAGTTTGAGGTATAAGAAAAAAATTGTGCTATTTTAAGTTTATTCTTGATGAATTGGAACAAAGAATATCACAGCAGCATGAATGAATACGAAAAAGATTAATATCCAAAGATGATACATTGAATAAGAACAACAAATTTGACTAATCAATGCTAATGAAACAAGAAGAAATCGATTATATCGAAAAAGCATTGATTTCATCTTTTGAATCGTTCGAGACTGGGATCGATCAAAGACAAATCGAAGATAGAATGATCCAGTGCAACAGATCGCCGAAACGAGTGATGGATCGGACATGATTATATAAATTGGCAATAAACCTTGAGCGAAAATGGTTTTAACATGAATAATAAATCCGGTAACATTAAGACAAACTAAAAGACCATGAAAGAAAAGTAAGGTCGACAAAATCTCTTTTAAACGGCGATTAAGCGTTCCGCGCCATAAAACATGAAGCAAAGCTAACAGAAATAAACTAATATGACCATTTGAACCGCTAAATACGAATGTGGATAGCAGTGGCATACTCAAAGTAACCCATTGGATCAAACGTACATATTTCATTTGCCGACTCAATTCATTATGAAGGAAAAGCACTCCGGGATATAACAACGAGCGAGCGAAATCGAATATCATATAATCGATAACAAAGGATATCAATGCCCAAACACTTAGTGCAACATAATAGAGAATAAGTGGTAAGAGGAAGAAATAATAACCATTTGAATGAATGTTTACAACAAAATCAGATGCTGGAAACAGAATGATAATCATTTTATAGAGACAGGTGATTACTATAGCGACAGGAAGATGGATTTGCCATGCAAGCATTGTTTGATATGTTCGAAGTCGAGCATCATTGACTTGCATCGAATAAGAAATACATAAAACCGTAAAGAGAAATGTTGGCAAAAGGAATATGTAGTAACGAACTAATTGAGCAAGGATGTCGAGGAATGAATAGTGAATTTCGATTGTATAGGTCGATTTGGGATCGAGGAAGAATTCGAGAGAAGCGGGTTGATCAAATGACATCGACGATGGCAAACGATGAAGTTTTAAACGCATTTGTCGGTGAAGAGATTCGGGAAGAGTAGACGATGGAGATGAAGGATTGCGCAAAGTAACTAAATTGTATAGATCTTCATGAGACCATGGAACGTGGAAATGAATCAACGGAATTTGTTGATTATCGGATGAAAGATGAACGCTGTAGACTTGCCAAAGATGATTGAGTGTTGGGAAAACCAACTTTTTATAACCGATTTGTTTTAACGATAAGATTTGTGAACCAAAACTAGAAAAGAAAAAGAAAAGAAATGTATAGCACTGATCAAAATAACTTACGTTGAAAGATCAACAATTTCATCATCTTCATTTGTTTGATAAATGTCAAATTGCGCTTTCTGATTATCCAACCGAATGAGAATTGAATCATATTCTTTGGCATATGCATCTAATTTTCTTCGATCAAATCGAATCGTTTTACGATTTCCATATGTGGGTGGAATGGGTAGCAGAGTGCGAGTGACTTCAGTTGTCTTCTCATTATTTTTTAAATAAATTCTGACATTAGTTGAATGAATAATCGTAGTGTGATATTTCGAATCCTTCAATGGAATCAAATAATCGTTATCGTCTTTCCGACGAACTGATAAAGTTGACTCAGTGACTACGACTGGATTTTTGTTCAAATTCAAAGCAGTATCTGATCCAAGACGATGATCAACCGAAGGTAAAAAATGTTTTTTAAGAATCTAAAATCTAGAAATAGTATACGGAAAACATTTGAAGAATACGAATCAACCTTCATCATGATTTGAGAATTTGGATTTTTTTCTTGAGTAATTTCAAGTAATGCTCGTGTCGTTCTCAAAACTAATTGTCGACACCAAACAATACAACGGTGATCAGTAGATGTCCAAACATGAGGAACAGCACTCGTGAGAACATCGATCGATCGACTTTCATCAGTCAAGCCATCCAACGAACATAAATCACTTCGAACAAGATGATCTCTGCAAATATTCGATTATAGTTTTTCTCTACATTCCTAAAGACATTCAACATACCGATCGCCACCAGCTAAGGAAACTAAGACAACATGTTGAAGGGAATTATTCCATTCGTTTTTCCAATATTGATTTACACGAGAATAGAAATCAATTACATAACGATCCGAATGAATCACTGGTGCTTGATGTGGTGTTGCTTGTGTAATGATCAAACGCACCGTATTTGGATTAAAACGATCTGATGGCTGAAGAAAAACCGCACCTAAATATATTCACTTTGAAGATGACTATTCACGTGGATTAAATCAAAGTTACGAGATAGTAAACCACCGATAGAATTTCCAACGAGAATAACTGTTTTGCTTGTCTTATACAACGATAAAATCGTTTGAATTGCATGGGAAACGAACTGAGCTTGTTGCTCGAGCACACCTCCGAACAATGCGGATAATTCTTCATTGAAATCGATCGAGAAATAATCCAGTTGTTGCTGTTCATTCATACGATAAGCTACAGAACCAAGAGAACGAACCTGTCGGTAACTATCCGCATTACCAACAATGAACAGAACCGGTGAACCTAAAATCTCAGATAAATATGACTAAATGTCAAAACTGTTTTCAAACCAGAAAATTGATTTCGTTTGTGAGCTTCGCATCGAACACCTTCACAATAGGAGTAAAGTCCATAACGCCGAAATCGAATTTCAACATCTTTTGCCATTTGAATTCGATGGTAAGTCGGTGCTTCGAACATATACGTCATTTCTAAACAAAAATGCAAACAGTTTTCATACATCGCAGATGAAAACTTATCTTCTTACCACAATAGTTGGACTCATGTCGAAATAAATAGGCAAATAGTGCCGTAAAGAATAAACTAATTATCACAATAAAAACTAGATTTTGAACAATCGAAAGAATCGTACGTGAAGACATTTCGTCGTCGAAGGATGAATTGTGATTGTCGATGTGTATTGTCCTGACCTTTTATATGATATTATATCTACGCATGAACGATTGTACAATTTTTCGACATTGAAGAAAAGAAATAAATATACAGATAGGTGGCAAGCAGACCAATGATTCATCGACCCTGTCAATTTCGACCATTCATTTTACAAGGCGCTATCTGTTACTGAATGTTGGTGACATGTTTAAGCATGTTTTCCAATTATTCATTCAATAATAATTGTCACTGAAGACGTAGTATATCAATTAGGAAACAAATGCGCAAATTAACTAACTGTGTCTGTTGAAATGGCAACACATGTCGTGCAAAGTTTAATAATGGCAGAGACTTGTTGTGATATTTCTCTAATTTAATGAAGTTTCAGTAGAAATCATCCAGGGAATATGTTTATGATTGAGAACTGAACATCTTTTCATATGTGTTCCGATACAAATTCAAATCAATTAAAAGTACATTTCAAACAAAGGTCATAGAGATACAATCTATGAAATAAACTTAGTTATTCTTTCATTCTCGATATGTTGTCCGCATACTCTACTGTTGAATTCAATTGAAAGTATTTCATGATGCACTTTTACTTTTTCTTTCTATCCTTATGATCTGACGAGACTTTGTTAAGTAACATATCACTTTGTATTCTTCGTCTATACATAATATATATCGAGAATATGAAGTAAAATCGATTCGAACATGATCAAGGAATGTTTACATCGAAATTTCATTTGTTTCTTTTTGTAGATATGACACAACCATTAGCCGGGACTGATCCTGCTGCTTCGCAAGCTCAATCTTCAGCAGCTGTGACCAAATTTAAAGGAAGTTTCACGGATCATCTTGCCAACGAACGAACGTTTCTAGCGTGGACAAGAACCAGTCTCGGAATATTTGCTTTCGGTTGTGCAATAACACGATTCGGTGGATCAGAATACAGTCGAATTAATTTTCGAGGTCCAGCTGTAGAATTAAAACCGCTAATATGTGGTATTATTTTAATTGCATGTGGAATAATGACATTACTCTATAGTATTTATCGATACTATCGCATCAATCGTCAGATAATGGACAGAGATCTAACAGAAGTATCACAAGTACGCGAACCAATTATAGCCGCACTTGTCTTGCTTGTGTCAGCAATTGCTATTCTAATTCTTTTTGTTCTGTTATAAATCAATATCAAAGAAATTGTTCTACATGTAATAAATCACATTCTGTGAGCAAATTTGTTCAAATTGTTGTTTTTTCTCACCTGACTACAAATATATCTGCATCTGCTAAAGAGTTTTCAAAAGCAGGATTTTGTTTGCAACTATTCTAACACTCAACATTTCTCTTCTGGATACTCGTCAGTTCAATGAGATCTCTGTACGAAGTACGTGATCACATTTCTTATTCTAATGTAACTTATTCACATAAAACAGGAATGGAGTTTCTCAATATCAAAATCTATGTGATGATAATTTTGTTAATAAATCTTATTCATAGATTCTGAATATGAATACAAATTCTAGACAGAATGTCTAGTGTATCTGTTTCTCTATTCTTTTTTTTTAATCAATAGAAAGACAAAGTCATCGGTCACATGCGGTGTGTTTTAATCCTGTTTTCCTCTCATTTCTTCTTTCATGCATTCACACATCTTCTCGGAATATAAGAGAAGGAAAAAGAAAATGAGCGAGCAAGTCTTCTTGAATCGATGGTATAAATGATGATTTACTTCTTTCCCTCTTCGCTGCCTGTCTGTCTTGTGTAAGTGGCGTTGAAATAATCAGTGAAACGCATAGATTTGGTAATGGAAAAAAAACCCACGAATGATGCATAAAAGATCAAAAGCAGCGTACTCGTTCTCTTTGCTAGTTGAAGGTATCCAGATGTCTGTTTAAATAACAAATGTGTTTTTTTCCTGTTATTAATTCATTCTTGAGTAAATAAGAAAAAACGGAGTTCTAATGAATAAATCGAAGAAAAGATTCCTCAAGACAATTCATGTACCTGACGTGTAAGTCGCTGTTCTGTTCAGCAGATAAGGACGAGAAAAACAGATCTTAGTTCTAATAATGTCTCCTTGTTTTCTCTTTCTCTCTCTTTCTCTCTTAATATTAGTGATTATGAAAAGAATACTTTATTCTTTTCTTTGCTGTCAACTCTCCATCGGTTGCTATAATTGGAAAATTGAGCATGCATATGTTTATACGATCAGCAGACATAAATGTCATTGTTCGTTGATATATTATTTCGATAGGTTTTTGTTAGAAAGAAAAGCAAAACATTGCGGTGAATACTTTTTTTTTCAATGTCTACTTTCTCTGACAAGACAACTGCGGTTTTTCTTCGCACGCTCTTTTTTCATACATCTCTTCTCGTCATCATTAAGTATTATACCATCGTCGAGATGTGAGTAAGTACGTGGCAATGTATTTTGATGATTACTTGAATATAATAATGTGTAGAGAATGATAGTGTTATTGAGTAATGTATGTAAAGAGAGAATGATCTAGTTTCTACAAGAATAGAATACTTTACCAAAAACGACTACGTGCATTTAACAGAAAAAAAAGGAAACAAATGAGATGGATGGAGTTAGATGTTATATTCGGTGATTAGTACGAAAAGAGTTTTTCGTGCTTGTTTGGGTTAGACTGATGAACAGAACAAGAGAATGAAGTGAGTCAGCGACATTTGCGTTAATTGAAAGGAAATTTCGAAGATTTAAACTTAATTGAATTTGAACGGATTTAGATAGGAACCATTTTCTGCATTTGTGATGTGTTACATCATGTATATTGACATTGTTGAGTAGTGCCTGAAGAAGTTTTCGCGACAAGATGATCTTTTTTTTTTGTAAGAAAAAAAGAAAAAGAAAAGAGAATAGAGACACACACATTGTGAAAAGTGATAGTGTCATTACTTCATTTACGAACTCATTTTGTCTCTTCTCTTAAGCTTCTATTGAGTTTCATAGGTCTTTACGCATTATTTTTTCATGAAATTTCCCTTCCTTTATGACTTAATTGATTGAATTACCTGTAAGTAGACGCTTTGTCACCAAAGAACTTGCAAACATTACCTTAATCTTCATCATTTGTTTGTTTTCAGATAACTGAAAAAGAATAAGTCCAATCGAAATGAATCAATGTTTCACCGAAAATGAACATTCGATGCATTCAAATGATTCTTTTCTTATCTCTCAAATGTCTGACAAAATCGGCTAAGAATTCAACAAAGATGTTTATCTTAACAAGTACTACAACAACATCCTCATTACTCGAATATTATAGAACTCGTCGTACATCGATAAATGATGTCCTGACGAATTCAATAGAAAATCGTTCTCATTCAACTGTGCATGACTTTTACATGACAAGTACGCAATTAAAACCTGAAAAAAAAACTCATCATGTCACACTGACAATTGTTTAGATTTTACAAAAACACAAATTAAAGTCATTGTGACTGTCGTGATTGTCATCGGCTTTATTATGTTAATTATTGTTATATTTCGATTCAAGTGAGTAATTTTGCATTTGATCGAAACAAGTCTCTCACTCAATTCGCTATGCTCATTCATCGAAGTAAAAAAAAAGAAACACGAGGATAATAAGTTGTGATCATCATATAAAGTGTCGCGACACAATTTTCACCCATTTAGTCGTTCGGCGAGTGAAGTATTCAAGAGATCTATTTTGTCGATGATGTATACTCATTTGTAAGTGTTATTTATTGTTTGCATAAGAGAATAGATCAAGATTGATGTTCGAATAAACATGCAAAGCAGTTAGTAGAAATTTAGATTTTAAAATGACATTTTGTGATTTTATACTGAAATATTGTCATTATCATTGAGTAAAAATAGAAGCAATGGATATTCTTCTATTTTAAGACTCATCTTATGAAATATTTAACAATTCATATGCACTTTTTATAGTGATATTTTCTATTTGTTATCCATGGTGATGAAAAACGCTTGATTACCATCAAGTTTGAAAGCGAGAGAAGAATTTTCAAGCTTTCTTCACTCGTAACGGAAAATTAAGAGCTTAGATGAAGCTGAAATACTATAAGTTAATGTGTATGCCTCATCAACTTAAGTTTTTCTTGCCATAAATTGTCAACCTTTGCAACTCTCGCCACAAGAGAAGTAATATAAACATTCAGATTTTCTCTGAAATAGAATATCTATACAAAACGACAATCGTCGAAGCTGCTGTTTGACATAAGTTCATTCTTTTCCTTTGGAGAGAATCTCATCCATATTGGTTCCTCTAGATAGAATTCACAATCGAGTATTATATAATCATTTAATTTCCTTTTCAAGAAGTGAATTGAGACACAAGGAAAATGTTAGTCTTAATACATTGATTGACGACGGTCTCTTTCGATATTCTATTCTCTTGTCACAGTCCAAAACTTTTAATTAACAAGACAAATAAACTAGCTGCATTTCGTCCGAGTTTCTTTTCTGTTTACTATTATTAGACATCTATATCTAAGGATAATACTTCACGTTGATAGATTCATTTCTTCTTTTATTTGTTCTTATCTCGATTGAGGAGAGATTCTTATCAATGCAATTTTAGTCTTTATTATAATATGCTAATACAGTCATACATAATAACGACGATGATTTGTCATTGCGTTTCTCTCTCGGTCTCTTTTCTCGAGTTAGCTATATACATATGTCTAAAAGCCAAATCAGATTGATTGTCTTTGTATTTTGTCTGTTCGGTCAAAGACGAATACTTTTCTCTAATTTGATAAAAGAGAGGATGAATGTTTCTCTTAGTTCCATTATCGTTTTGTCTCTAATGAACGATGTGAACATTGTTTAATCATTAATGCAATTAGCATTGATGGTCAATATGTCCATTTATATTGAATTTGGGAGTTAGTTCTCTTTCTCTTTTTAGGAGTGCATGTTGCGAACAGGATACACAGAAAATACGGACTGAAATCATTCGACAGCGTATTTCACAATTTGGTGAGTCAAGTTCTCGACGTGGAAGTATCGGAGTAAGTATTTAATAATAAAAAGAAAACCATCAAGGTCAGTTTATGAGCAAACAGCTGTGACATCCAACATTACGATTGAATACGAGAGAAAGAAGAAGAAGAAGAAGAAAAAGCAAGACAGGAGAAAAGATCTGAATGAAGGCAACTTGTTCTGTCTTTGATGCCCGAGAGCCGTCAATAACGATAAGAGCTGTCGGTTGCCTCTTAGAAAAAAAGGCAATGAAGACATCGATCTATACTTACAAACGATATTATAGAAACAGAATAAATATCAAAAACACATAAAAATTATTAGAGAAGGCAAGATAGGAAAGTGAGAGGAATAGCAAAAAAGAACGACTAACATCAGAGGGCGGCGACTTCTAAACTTACACGCGATCTATGTATGTCTGTGTTAAAAAAAAAGCATGAAGTCGCAGAGCATATTGTTCAATCAGTCGACACCTCGTTACTCTTATGTGCATTGTATTCCTTTCCTTCCTTGTTCGTTTTTCTTTCTCTTCAATGTCTTGTCTTTCCCAAACTGAGAATAGAAACAGAGATATGTCTGTTTATCAAAGCTGATTATTATTTATTGGCTTTTGTATGATGAGCAGTAAGCAGTACTTAGAAAAGCGCATAAATTCTCTCAAATGCGTTATTTCTTCCGTCATCATTGATTATTGTGTATATGTGCCAGTATGCACATATGCATCTTTTCTTGTGTTGATGTTACTCGAACTTAGTCGATAAATTCTTCATCGTTCTTTCCCTCCTGTCGTCTCTAAAAAGGATAAGATTCACTATTATCACTTGTTAGAAGCATCCTAAATACAAAGTAATAAATCGATCTCGAGGAACTTCAGTCACTTTCGTATCTATTCTCATAATCAAGTGTACGATGTCTATATTGAAGAGATAGGAAGGATGGACACAGATGCTTTTATTGCTCTGTACATTTAAAGTACTATCGTGTAAGTATATACATAGGCATTTCGTAATCAGAGACTAGTATTAATCATAGTAAATATTGAGTAATTAGAAAAGAGGAAAACAGCGGTTCGGATGGTAATATTTCATTTGTATTTTTTTAACCACATATACTTATTTGGTAGAATAACATCAGAAGGAATATTTTCCTATTACATCATTGTCATCATGTGTAAGATGTAATAATATCTTGTCTGTGTTTTTTTCTCATCTACTCTAGTAGGATTTTTACAATAACTGTCAGAGAGAGAGAGAGGAGAATGATGATTGTTTAGTTAGTGAACTCGAGAAAGATATAATTGTATATCAATCGATCATCGTCTTGACAAGTGATGATGTGTATATTTGATTTTGTGAGAAAAGCAATATGCTTCGAGTACAAACAGTCTTGTAAGGCTTTGATTTAATGCCTGAAGCTGAAGGAAAACTTCTTAAGTCATAAATAAACATTTCGTATACGCATATCAATGATGAAAATCGCTTTAGTAGAATAAGATGAAGAATAAAGACGAGAGAAATCAAGTCAGACACTTGATATACACATGTTCATATCGACCTTGAAAAAAAAAGAACATCACGGAAATTTAACATGTTCCGTTCCGGATTTGCGTGACATGCTGCATATACAACTAACATCACTTGTCTTTCTTTTGCGTGTATATCCTATATGAAAAGCAAGATAGACAGCAACATGCATATTTCTCATCATTTAGTTAGATTGAGCTTCTCTATCTTTTTTTTTTCTTTCTATTTTTTTACTGGATTTTTTCTTGAATACAAGACAAGAAGAACGACTTTTCTTTGATTATAATCATATCGCGAACAATTGTCATTTCTTGTCACCATGAAGATTATATCCTGATAGTTTGTGAGTGGTGGATGTTCTAATCATTGGAAATCTTTTCTTCTTTTCCTTCTTTCTTTGTTGTTTAGTAAGGTATTTAAATGTTTCTTTCTTTCCTTTGTTACATATGGTTCAACAAGTTTCATCGGTTCCCTTTTTTTTCCCTTCCTCTCTTTTTTATACAACTGAGCAAGTATTACTACATTGTCATCATTCGCTCAGTTTGTAATGAGAAGAGAGAAGAATAAATTGCAAGAAACAGATGTAGAACGTGTACGGGGAAAATTATTTTTTTTCTAAATCGATTCATTTTCATGTCCTTCAGACTTTCTAAAGAATAGCCGTGCGTGTGTACTAGTAAGCTGGCTAATAGTCAATTTGTCTTTCGTTTTTCTTAATAGTGACGATTTTCATCTGATTATAAGCAAAGCTAAATGGAAATAAATCAATTTTATCTCAGTGCATGTTCAAAACATTGATAGAATGAACGTGCGTCGCTGCTGCCGCCGCTGTTGATGATGATGATGACATGTTAGTTGTGCAATCGACTACATAGCTCGATTGATATGTGTATTTCTTAGTTGATTGTATATACGATATGTGAGCATTCGGATCGTTCTATTACTCAAGAGAAAAAGAGGGTAGAGAAAATAGATTTTTCTAGGCATTTTTCTTCTCAGCTTTGTACCTAAATAAACGTCATAGTCTTCTGAAAGCAAATGAGCGATGGTAAGTTTATCGAGTGTAGAAGTCCCACCATTTTGAATAATTTATAAGTATACGTTATTCATACGTGAATTTTTTATTTTAGTATTATACAAGAAAATACACGCGAGCGCCTAGTTATCGTTTTGACGAACAATTAAATTCATCGTCAACGAAAAATCGATCCAGTATTCCCATTTATGAACATCTGTTTCAACCAAAAACTGATATTACTGTCTCGTCATTACCTATCGAATCATCAACAGTATCAACTACTGCACAATCTCATTATGTCACAACAACTGATTCTAATCATCAAAACGAATCGTCTCCTGTAAAATCCAGCGTACAAAAGTCATTCTCTACTGTTGGTATCAGTCGGGTAGGTTATTAATTCATCTTTTCTTCTTTGTCTCTTGTGAACAATCAGAAATGCCATCTTAAAATCACGAAGCATGTCACCAGTAATTACGAGTCAATCAATCGCTAAAACGCACACACGCATCGACACACTTGTTTATCTTACTATGCATAACTTCTCATAATCGCTTTTACTCATGTGTATTGATAGATTGCTGTAACGCAAGTATTTGTGTGCATAGACATTCTTGCAGAAAAAATCGACATCAAATGATAAAGATGGACAAGATTAATGAAGAAATATTAGTTTTGTTTTTTTTCTAATGACTTTGAGGATTGAGACACTGGTTTTATATTTGATTAAATAACAGGTGAGTGTTGTTTAGATATACGCATTGAACGAGCGTTAAGAATCTCTGTTTCCCTAGAATAATCATTTTCTTTCTGCTCTATTTATACAATTGTGCATCGTATAAGAGATCATCAATATTTCATTATCATCTTATTCATAGAGTGCTCTCGTACGATTAACATCGATCGATTAGATAAACATCGAAACTGTCAATCTTCCCAGAACAGATAAACTAGACAATGATGAACGTAAATAAGGGCAATTTACATGATGTATATCGATATTACACACGCTTTCAATTTGTCTCTATACTCAATAAATACATCTAATGTGCTAATGATTAAATGCCATTTAAACTTCGGTGACCATTACTGTTAGTGTATGTTTAACACATCGATCTAGACAAAATAACGATGTCAATTCGTCTAGAGACGAAAATCAATTTCCTGTGCGTGCACAGCAGTAACCGACTAGTTATAGACATAAACTCATTTAGTCCTTCTCATCTTATCCTAAACATGAAAACGCGCGATGCTGTGAAGAAGAAAGAGAAAAGAAAGTCAGTTGAACATCTCATCTTTACTTTCTTCTTCGTCTTTACGCACAGTTGCCGAAATTCAACTTATTAATTAAGTAAATATGGTGACCACGATAAAAATAGAATACAAAACTGACAATATTAATGAAGCATTAAAAGCACACTGAAAAAAGACTCAGTACATTTTCAAGTATATTGAAATTCTATGGAATTAACACAGAGAAAGAAACAGGAAAACGTAATTCTTTTCTCTTGTTGAGCTTTTCTTTCAATTCATTATTGCGAGAGCAAGTGAAAATCCACTTCTGATTTGTTTGAATGAACTTTGTGATGAGTTTCCTTCTTTCTTCTTGCACATGACTGCTCATTCTTCCTTACTAACACTTTGAAACCTCATGCCGTTGACACTGTCAGATCAGGTTTCTATAAGAGAATCAACTGTCAGCCGCAAGAATATATATTCATCAACAACAGCATCAAAAAAATTAAGTTTAAGAAAAGGATTTAGTATTGTTGTCGTTGCTGTCATATAGTCGAGGATAACATTAACTCATCTACATACATGTGCTCTGTGTTGTCAACGCTCGGATGCATGTAAGGGTGCCGACTGACTTATGATTTCGTTAATGCAAATTGAATCTATCTGTTGTTCTTAGGACTACTACTATTATTACTCCTAGAACTAGAAGGAATAAAGAGTCGTTTCTGATGATGATGATGATGATGATGATGCGTATGAGTGATGTGTCGACTACCAGCCATTCAGTCAACAAAAACTCAAAGAAAACGAAGGAGGAAAAGGGGAAGAACAAGATGATGATGATGATGAAGATGAGAAAATATGCATTTCTCCTATGTCTGCTTTCCTTCTCCTCTTCTGTCTCTCTCTCTCTGTTTCTCGTTTTCATAGGCAGTGTTACTAGACTCTCCCACTCACTCACTCACTCTCTCTCTCTCTCCCTCTCAGTCATCAGCAACAAATATCATAAATAGAGTAGAAAATACCACGAGAGCGTTACAGGACGGGAAAGACTCACTGTCATGTTAATCAAAAAGAATGCGAATATGAGAAGAATGTCGTTCGTCGAGCTAAACACAGAACAGTAAAACGTTCTCGAATCAATTGACATGTTTGGACTGTGTACAACAGCATTGTTCTCATCATTTCAAAGATAAACTACCTGTCATTATCGATATTTTCTTTTCCCTTCATTCACCATTCATTCCATTCATCGACAAACTGGTCGTTTGATCCTCTGCACGGTACCACCGCATATATTGTGTCGTCCAAATACTGTTCGTTACTCACTTGTTCTTAACGTGCATGATCAACGACATCGACGAGGCAACGCATCGAACAGATATATCAAAGTGTCGTCGCCTACGCTTCGTAAACTCTGCTTGCCGTGTATTACCGCACGAAATCAACGCCAGCAATATAAACGTTCGCAACAGATAAACAAAAACAAGACACTGAAAAATAATCAACGAGAAATTATTACTTCTTCAACCGCTGAGAACAATGCTATTGACTCAATACATCGTCTAGAAATCAATCCAAAGACACAGGATCTTAAATCAACAACGTCAGTGGTGCACAGCAGTGCATGTTTACGCGAAAACGATGCTAATCAATGTGATGAGCAATACCAACATTTTGAGAAGATTTCATTTCCGATTGAAAAGATAGACGAAAAAAAGAATGAGATATCGGTGGAAACGGAAATAATAACGGCAAGAATAGTTTCAGAATCCGTATTACTGACATTATCATCACCTGAAAATGAAATAACGAGATCAAACGTAGAGGATGTGGTAGGTATTTTTATAGTTGCCAGTTTGATTAATTTGAGAGTAATAATAACAATGATCATGCTATTCATCTTCTTCCTCTTCGTTTTCTTTTTTTCTTCTCGTCTTTTTAATTCATCCTTTTCTTTTTCCTACTAGTGTGATGATCATACGCCACTATTAACATCGGATCTTACATCTACTATCAAAGATTCATCGAACCGTGCTACTCGTAAATATTCGCTCAATGCTTTTTCATCATTCATACGTTCTTCAAACTCACATCCGTTATCTTCTTCATCGACAACTTCATTTACTGCCAACAGCAAGATCGCCGGTGATAACAAAAAAAATCGTTATAGTCTTGATTTGACGACACCTCGTCAAATTAATCTTTCATCTGTATTTCGTCGGAATTCAACTACGAAACAATCGAAAGCATTCTACTCAACAATTGACCCGACAAATACAAAGTCGCAAGCCTCACCAAAAACCATTGTTCTTCCTGTTCAGTACGATCAACCTTCTACGAGCACAGATAATTCGAACAGCGGTAGTCGAACATCGCTATCGAAAACTAAATCATCGAACTTCACAAAAGTTCATCAGAAAAAAAAGTCATCGACAGTTACACCAACCAGCACAATATCACCCTATCGAAAAGATTTCATGCAAAAGATCGAACGCTTTCGTTATATCGACGATAGTGCATCGAGTACAACAACAGTCACATCTCCTGTTGAAAGTACTGATCATTTGAATGGCCATCAACCATGCAATCATCTAATTACAAGTGCTATTGAACAGTTCGATGATTATGTTCGATCGAGATATTACAACAATGACGAAATCAATTCTTATATCGATCGTCTCAACTCGGATATCCTAACCAATGGTTCATACTCAGATCTAAATATTCTCAATAGTACCAATAATAATCATGTAACCATGCCAAATGCTCAAGTAAATCAACAAGCTGTCTCATTCAAGCCGGTGAATCATTTTTCATCACAATCAGAAACAGTAAGTTGAAAAGGAATAGATCGAGAAAACTATTTTATTCAAGTTTTATCTGACATCATATCCGACATACTTATCTATTATTAAAATCAGTTCCGTTCTAAATATATGAGATCCTTTTTTCTCTCTATCTCGAAAAAACAACCAGTCTGATAATATTACCCAGATTAGAAAATTGAATTAGAAAGATAGGATTTATAGTTTTCTTTTTCTTCTGCCAGAATGACTATCGTCAAGTAATACGTAATTCAACGCCGATTTCAATTCCATCTCGACCTGTTCAACCGACCGATAATCCTCTCATACGACCGACAACGATAATTACAAATGGACATTCACGTTCCATGGATTTTCAATCAATCACTGCTAATAATAATCATCACCTGAGGAAACAAGAACTCATCCGACCGCATACATTGAACAATCCAGCAACGATCTATGAAACATCGTCATCGTCTATTGCTACACTAACATCTGTCCGTAGTTCAACTAGTTTAGAATTCGATGATGATGCCAAACCGTCCGGTGTACTCGTTGATGATGATTTTCTTCCGATGTCATCGCCTGTCGATGATCATTTCTGGGATATGACAACCATGTCGACAACAACGAATCATAATCATCAATTTAAGCACAATAATAAAAACGAATGCTTTCCTAATGTTGGCTCATCTCCCGATGTCGAAGACAAACATTTCGATGTTGACCAAATGAAGAAGTACTCTGCAACAACTGATCAGCCATTTTCGGAAACTTCATGTGACGATGATGATGACGACGATGATGATGATGATCGCAGTGATCATCAACAGAAATACTCCATTCAAGAATACAAATTGAAAGAATTACAAAAACCTATTGTTATTCATCGAACACAATTGAATCCATCTAGGCATTCATCAAAGCCTATCAATCACTCACAAGACGCGATATCCATATCAATAAATAGACTTTGTATGTCATGTATAATTTCATTTAACTTTATTTGGAGTTTTTCTTTCACTTTAGCACTGGATTCAAAAAATGATGAGTCGTTGTTGGAAAAGTTCGCCACTGCAGATAGTGATCCTGTACAGATGACGATTCGTTCGCCGCCACTTCGTCCATCTGTAATCAATGATTTGACTTTAGCATCTCAACAGTGTCCACAGACGATTTTCGAAGAAGATGATACACAGGAGAGCTCCACAAACGATAACATATCGGATGAAAGTGCTGACAATGGTGAAATCGATCTTGTACGCGAATTTGAATTATCACAAAAACAAGAACAAATTAAATCTAATAATGCAAATCTCTGGAGTACGAATGATCGAGATATATTTATTTTACAAGAAGACGATCTTCTTTCTGCTATGGTGACAACACCAACGCACACTCCGGCAATCATCAATCGACCTTTACCACCATCAATTATGAAAATGACTCAGAATAAATCAACTGATAGCATTGATGAACAACAAACTAACGCCAGCAATTCATTGAAACCGAAAGTACGCTTCAATCTTGATCCCCAATATGAACGCGAACGTGAATGGAATAAAGTTAACAAATTACTAGGACCGAATATGGAATGGACTGATGAATTTGAAGTCTAATATCTCCTATATCGTTAACAACATCGGGAGGGAAAACACCATCTGTCAGATTTCTCTTTCTTTATGCCTGGAGCTTAATCTACATATATATTGTACAGCTCTTTTTTGTCTCTCTTAATATCTTTTCTGTTTGTTTTTATTTTGTTCCTAAAGTAGATGATTTATTAGAACATTGCCAGATATATATATATATAAACGGACGTTTTTATTTCAAGAATGATAGAACGTTTGAAACTTAGAATCTGTTGGTTTCAGAATCGTTTGATCTTTGAGATTGACTAACCAACCCGGTTCCAAACCGTAGAATATCTGTCGAGGATCTTTTTTCAAACGAAATAATGATGAAAACTTCGATGGATCTGGTAGTTTATAACCGTATTTTTGTGCTAAACGTTGTCGTTCTTCCCGGATTGAATCTGGATTGGCTAAGTAACCGCGTTGTTTTGGATCTGTGTAATATTCGACGGCATTGATCGGCGGAGTATCACAACGCGGAATCGGTTCACCACGTTCAAAGAATTTCTTTGCATCTATCAATGCTGACAATGAGATTGGATCAAAATAGCGTGTTGTTAAGACACCACCACATCGTTCAATAGCAGCGATAGCTAATTCACTAGCTACCCATTGAATTTCCAGATTGATTGGAGTAGAAAAGAGATCAGCACCCTAATGGAATGAAGATTGAAAAAAGAAATTAAGAATTGCATGACGGAAAAGATTAGTTTGTTTTATTAAAAGAAATGCTTTGTTGTTTCTTTTTATTCTATTTCAAACTTTACAGAAGAAATTGATTAGACAAAGATGGGACTAAACTGACAATGCACAAGAGGGAGTTGTAAATGAAAATTCTTCAATTTATGCTTAAATATTCTCAAGCTGGTGAGTTGACTGACATAAATGCGTATTTCATTTTCTTGATAAAAGTCGTCTGTTGACATGTCAACATTTCGATGAAGTCGAACTAATTTATCCCATGAATTACTTAAAATTAACGAGAATCTATTCTGTTTAATCAAGCAAACAGTTGCGTACTCATTGATGTACAAAACGTCTCGTTTTTTCCTAATATTGAATAAATTAATTCAGCTTACTTCATCAATTAATTGTAGACCGAATTGTCTTTGATCAGGTTGAATGGAAAACAACTTTGTATTGCAAAGTACGGGCAAATCAATAGGTTTCTCGGGATTAATGCGACGGAGATCGATCAGACGTTGAAGAGTGCGTAATGATATCGGCAAATATTGTCTTGCTTCTCTGAATATTCACAAAGAATTGTTGTGTGAAGTGAAATCTTCAAGAAGACTAAATCATACTCGATTCCTTCATAGTATGGTTCTTTTGGAACGGTTAGGATCCATGGAAGACGTCCCTCTGCTTGAATGGGATCGATACCATATGGTGGTAATGCATTTCGAGAAATCGGACCTTTTCTACTCATAATCGCTTTGATTTTAGTTTCATCCGGCTACAAATTTCAATGAAAGTCAACGAAAAGTTTCAAGTGAAAGAACATATTACATGTGCTTTTTGCCATTTGAGTGTCTTTTCGAGAGGCATCGGTAGATTTTTCAATGTCACTCGTTGCATCTGCCGTAAATATTGTAGACCTCGTTCGATCGGCATCGTTTATCTGAAATGTACCAAAAATTAGTGTTTAAATTCGCTTTGTTTTCGATAGCGGAAAGATTTATACGGCAAAAAGAAAATAATCGTCACAAAATTTCAAATTTAAAACAGAAAAACAAATAAAAGATATCAATGGTCACTCGATGATTCTGATGATGGACTGATCGATAGTTGATTTTCTTCGTCACTTCGTTTGCCATTATCCGAAACAACAATGATGCTATCACCATCATCATTAGTTGTCTTCGGATTTGTTTCAACTCCAATTGGTACCGTTCGATTTTTTCGTGCCTACAAAACACAAAACTAAAGTTCGAACGAGAAGCGTTTTCTGTCGTACTTCTAATTGCCACGATGGAAGTGTCGGTGGTAGTTGCGGAATGGCTGGAAATTGTGAACGGCCTAAAGATAAGCCTTTCAAAGACTGAATCTCTCGTTTGATTTCTTCTAATGAAGACGATGAAGATCCATTCATTGAAGATGTATGAATTGTTAAATGCAATTGATCAGTTGCTTGCTCAAGTTTTTTAATGCTTGCATGCATATCTTGAATGGTCTTTTGAAGAGTTTTGATCGTTTCGTTCAAATCATTCGCTTTAACCGATTTTTTCTAGGAGGAAGAATATTGAAATGGAAGAAGGATGAAAAGGATTTTCATACCGAATGAAACCAGCGTTTGATGAATTTAAATGCTAGACCAACTAGTCCAGCTAAGATTAAATCTGATAGAATTCGTCGAAGAAAGGATGGACGATGATTGGGAACAAGTTCAGTACTTGTTTCTATGAATGTAAACAAAACTGAAGTGAGATATTAAAAAAGTTATGTCTTACGTTTTTGAGGAATAAGTTTAAATGCATAGTCTATTTCAGTATCCGTCAATCCTAAAAAAAGAAAAACATGAAATGAAAATTAAATGTCTCACACATTAAATTTACCTTTCTTCTTTAAGAATTCACGTTTTTTCTCCATTGTTTCAACTGCCACTTTTGTATTCTTTAGAAATCCGATTGCTGTATCGACCTAGAAGAAAATTTCGATACAAAGATGATGAATTTCAATTTCCATTGGTCTCATACCAAATCCGACCGAATAGTACCTATTGTCGTCTGATCTGCCATCTAGAATATCTTTTATCTAGAATAATGAAAACAAAAACATTAGAAAAGTATATATTTATCACAGGTCCAAATCATCATCTTCATCTTCGTCAATATCATCCTCTTTATCATATGAATAATGAATCGTACAACCATCGTTTGATGTTTGCATACTAAAGAAAAATGAATTTTTGTCTTTTTGCAAGATTTAAATCGAATCTTACTGCTGCTTAGTGTACGGAAGAACGAGATTATTCTTTGCGGTTAGCTCATCATCTTTCAGACGGAGATTGAAGGTTAAATTAGCAGTGACATCAGTCTAGAAATTGACAAATGTTTTCGATTTCTAGACGAATTATGGAGAATATTTACTTTCGATGATCCATCTGCATTAGTCGTGGATTTACTTTTTCGATTGCTGAGTTTTTCTTCGCGTAAATTGATAACGTTCAACTGTGAATCGATTGAGAATGTCAATGACTAATAGAAATTTTGTAAAGAAAAACAGTTTTTCATGGAAAACAACAAACAGTTTTAATTGTATTGACACTTGTTCGCGATCGTTGTTCAATTTTTGCTTCGATGGCTTCCAACTTCGGCGCCGTTTTCAGTCGAACAGTTACATATGATATTGCTATCAAATTTTTCAGACTGGAACTTTCTTCAAGACAATCAGCTGGCACGACTGCCATTACCATACTTGTTTCTAATGAAAGAAATTATAAACCTGCTGAAAAATAGTCTTGCTATTCTTACTACTCCAGTTGTTCAATATACGGAATAGATTTCCTTCGGATGTTCGTAACAATAACCAAGGAAGACATTCGATAACAATCAGATCTTTTTCTTCGGTTATTTTCAGACATTCTTCGATGGATTTTTTCGAATGAATCTCATCAAATATGTCCATGACATGCATTCTAAACGAATTTGATACATATCTTATAAGAAAAATCAATAAATATACTTCGATTTCAATTCCGGACGATGTGCGAATACATGAGATTGAAACCAAGTCGGTTCATCATGTTCTGTTAAGAAAATATTCACGTTCGAAAATCTAAACACAATCTTCTAAAGGAAATTCTCCAAGTCGACGAAGAAGATTCTTACTTATTGAGAGTTTCACATGCATATGCACAAGCAAATTGGAATCCTAGTGATGAATTCGATGGAGTTTCGTCTAGAAGCAAGATTTCAAAGGTGTATGAATGCTTAGATCTGGAATCCGAACATACCGATAATTAAAACCAGTGATGGTTTTAATTGATTATTTAATCGAGATGATAGCATGGGCTATGTTTGAATGAATACGATAAGCAAAACTAGACGAAAAAGTAGAAGTTGCATGATAAGTTTTCCTATTGGTTATTGAACAAACCAATCAGATGTGAAGATACACCTCTATTATTTTTTCTTTCGGTTATTTGCTATTGCACGAAGAAAGAAAAATTTCGAAAAAAATAATATACATTTACCTTGTTTATTCTTTCTCTAAATAACTCATATTAATCGATGATTGTTGCTCATTGATTAACTGACAATATCCAAACATCATTTCTCTTGTAGAAAAACAACGTTTTCAAATGACAAACCGAGGTAGATTTCTGAATAATCGACGAGCAAACAAGAATTTTAATCGCAATAAAAAGAAGTAAATTCAGACGTAATGAACCCACAGCAGCTCATTTCGTTTGTTTATCGTATTTTAGAACACCGCTCGAAGATGATAGCATGTCGATTATTTGTTTCAAAGATCCAGATGTAAATTCAAACTAAACTTCTTTCAAAAATCGAACTTATTTACTCATTTAGACTGGTCATGTTGGTACTGTTCGTATTCGTCAACAAATCTTTTGTACACTATGCAATTTAATCCGTGGAACATTGTCTCTTTATTTCAAACATGTTATGGATGATCAACATCATGAACATGTGAAGAAATTATGTGATGAGAACTGTTTCATGCCAACTGTTTATGATCAAGCTGTCCATTTAGGGTTTTATAATAATGTAAGTAGCGAAGACATTTTCATTTTTGGAAAGTAAATGAAGAAAACATATGTTATTGATGTATCTATATTTGGGAGACGATAATCAAAGAACGGCCTTGATTTTCAGACAGAAATAAATAGCTCTTCTCTTGTATACGGTAGATTTACAACTAATTCTGTCTCTTCTATATAGATTTGTTATCAAACTGACAAGTTTCATTTTCGTTACAAATACGCTGCTGAAGAGTCTGATACAATAGCGCAAGAAATGAAGACTTCAGTCAATAATAATGCATCTGAAACGAACAAAATGGAAACCAATTCAACGCAACCGAACATAGCTCTATCAAATACGACAAAGCAACGAAGTATTCAAGTCACCCTTGTCTTTCAAGATAAAACTTATTCCCGCACTGGTACAGTTCTTGCACAAATTCGTGAACAACTTCTCAAAGATATGCTTGTTGATCGTGCTGATGATATCGCAGCAATTCCAATTCAATTCTACTATTCCAAGAGTAAGTAAATTCACATGTACACAGAAAAGAAACAATCGATGTTTAGTTCACATATAATTAAGTATCATAGTTCGTCTATATCGATCTTTTTAACCGAGAACGATGTTCAAAAACTGTTTTTTCTCAATCTCTTACTGGTCGAATATGTGTATATTCAGCGTATATGTATTTAATTTTTGTAGAAAAATCTACGTCCGATTATATTTATGACAATATTCCAAATAGTTCTGTTACTTCACCTCCGGCCGAAGAACAGTCACAGGTCATACGTCAGCAGCAGCAAGAACCGCTGAGTGACGATCAAATGTCTTCTGCTGAATGCAGCAGAAAAGACAACGGTGTGACACCGACTATTGCTATGACCACACATGAGATATCGACGGCAGAAAAAACTCATCCGAATGAACAGCCGTCATGTGATGATGACGTGATGAATGTCTGCAAGGTAATTATACGAAAATTTCATTTTCGAATTAGAAGCATGCGACAAAATAGATCTATACAACAAGAGATTCACATAGACAGACTAGTCATGCTAATCTTAATGTCGTTTGTATTTGTTTCAAGTCGAATCATGTCGTTGATGTTTTCATTAGTATAGTATTACTATTGTTTAGGATGTGTTAAATAATATTCTTGTTGACGCGTATTCGAAAACGGATGAATACAAACGTGAACGAGAACTTCTATTTGGTATAGCACGACGAAGATACAAGAAAAGAAAAGCATTCTTTTGTGATATATGTTCAACCTTCTTAATAACTGAAGATTTGTGTACCGCAGTAAATATTTCAACGTTCTTAGTTCTTTCATGTGTTCTTCTTCTTCTCGTGCTTTTCAGCATCAAAATAGTGAGAAACATTTGGAGAAAGTTCGTCATTATCAAACCGAACTTTTGCCATGGCGTCGCGCTATGCAAGAAGTGAGTTTATTTATTTATATTATTTAGTGCATATCTATTGTCTTCTTAGTCTTTCATCACCGGTAAACCGATGAAAGATATCATAGGTGCTACTGCGTATGCAGATTACAGAGCGACAATGGCGTATTATCTTGCACCGAATAGTATACATAATCACGGGCGTTTTTGTTGTGCTTACTGTGAGTTGACTTTCTTCGATCAATGGCTCTTAGAACAGGTAGAGTAAATATTCTTTTAAGTGTTGTCTAAGGTGGATGATGGATTTGATTTTAGCATTTAAATACAAGTGAGCATAAGAAGAAAAAAACATCAACAAAGCATAGAGAACTTGTTCCCGTATGTATTGGATCTTTGAATCGATATTTATTATATGTTTTATTTCGATTGTTTAGCATTTCGCGGATATGACTATCTTACCGAATGTATATCGATTGAATGGTGTGAAGGATCTTGCTGAGGTTCCGGCCAATATTAAGAAGGAAGAATCATGGTCTAGTGCGACATTGAAACAACTTGATGAAGATACTAATTCGTTTCTTCAACAGTTTCCTTTTGATGAATTTGAAGGCGTCACACGTATTACAAATGGTAAAACACCGCGAAATCAAGGACCACCAGCTGTTCAGACACTACCAACGCAAAAAGCATGGAAAAAAGATAAAGCTCCGGCTAAATACTTCCCGAATAAACGTGGAGGATTGAATAGAGGAAATCTAGGACAACCTCAACCGACAGTGTCCCAAGGAGGTACATCTACATTGGACATATTCACACATGTGTATCATTGATTCTGGTATATTTTTTGTAGGAAAGGCCGCAAAACGATCGTTTCCTTCCACGCCTGTATTGAATAAACGATTTCGACAAGATCTGAATAATTCATTTCCAGGAGCAAATCGTGGTCCAGGAATATTAAGAAATTACGAACCGAATGCATATAACTATGCCCAAACAGGACCTATTAATAATGGAAATAATCGTTGGCCACCTGCATACTCTAATAATCAACAACAACAACGACAAGAATACTACCAACAGCGAAATTTCGATACACGATCGTACCCGACGAATAACAATACTAATAATAACAACGCATTTTATGACAATCGTAATCCACAGATGAGGCCCAATACTAATAATTATGATAATGAACGTCAGTTACGATTCAATAATGGTGCTGACCCAGGATACCCCAATCAGCAGTCGAGTTATAGTAATTCATTCAATCGTTCATCAACAAATGTAATTCTGTTCATATTAGATCAAATTGAATTATTTATTCGATTTTGTTTTCTTTCAGTTCGTAAACGATTATTCTACTGAACCGATTCCACCGAATCGTCTTCATCAGCGAGGAAACTCTGGTCCAAACAATGGATTCGGATATTCTAACATGAATAATCATCAACGTTCTCAACAACTACAACAGGAAACAGCACGACCTTCGTTAACGCAAACTCAATATCCAAATTCCAATTCTTTCCACGGTTTTGGTACGCACAATAGTAATACGATGAATTCATCGTTTTTCACCCCGCTAAATAATCAACAACCGAGCCCAATGCCAATAAATGGTCAATCAATAAATTCCTATGCTGATTATCGAGCATCATCTGCTCTTCCCCCAGCAAATAATCCTTCTACTGCATATCCACCAGTTCGTAGCTTGTCCAATTCAACTGGGCCCCAAAATCATATGTTTACTGATTTTTCTCGATCAAACATAGAAGCATCGAACTTCAATACCTCAGGACATCAAAGTCTTATGCCACCATCGTATCAGACACCATGGCGTGACTCATCGAATGGCATGAATACTGCTCGTGGTCGGGATAATACTTTTCACCATGCGAATAAGCAGTCTAATTCCACATTTTCACATTCCAACAATAACAACAACGGTATGAATTCATCGGCACGAGGACGGGGTTCTGGTCAGAACACTCGATTTTTCGGTGGTCGACGATAACTGAAGAATATTCAAGCAGTTCATAGACATTGATCCGTTTTGTTGATCATTTTCAAATCTTCAACTATTGTTATATTGTTACTAATATTCTTGTTCATTTTATTCAAGTATTGGGTGCGTGTGTCTTTTCCAGCTTGTTACATTCCTCGAAATAGTTATCCTTTTCTGAAAATTTTGACGTAAAATCATTTACGGACGAAAAATACTAATACATCCTAGAAACAAAGAGACAGAAACCAACACTTTCTTTCAATTTTATAGATTAAGACAGTCAGATGACATCACACTCGTCAGCGATTCATCGACGTAACAGTGCTGCTGTTCATCCATTTCCGAATCCTTCGACAGTTGTCATTGTCCTCGGTGCTCAATGGGGCGATGAAGTAGGCTAGACAGATAATTATCGCGAAAATATCTCATTTTTCTATTAGGGAAAAGGTAAATTGGTCGATTTATTGGCATCGGAAGCCGATATTGTCTGTCGTTGTCAAGTAATTGACATTTTCATTGAACATTTCACCTATAAAAATATACACAGGGCGGTAATAATGCTGGTCATAGTGTGGTAGTCGACGGAGTCGAATATGACTTTCATATGCTTCCGTCTGGCTTCCATTTACAAAATTGTGTGAATATTATTGGTAAAATTTGAATGAAGAACGACGAAAATGCTTAGTAGATATATTTTGTAGGTAATGGTTGTGTTGTGAATTTGCCTGAATTAGTTGAAGAAATAAAGAAAAATGAATCTCGTGGTGTCACTGACTGGTCTCAGCGATTGTTTATTTCTGATCGAGCACATTTGGGTAACGATCAATGATGAATAGTGTCGAATACGAATTCGTAATTGTCATATTTAGTTTTCGATTTTCATAAACAAACTGATGGATTAATCGAACGAGGGCGCGGCACTAGTAGGTGAGTTATACTCAACTAAAATCTTTCGCTCTAAGCCTTTCTAATGATAATCATAACCCATATTCATCAGTCTTGGCACAACTAAAAAAGGTATTGGACCAACATATTCATCAAAAGTAACACAACGTTATTCACACAAGAATATCAATTCAAAATTAATTATCGTTTCTAGGCGACACGTAATGGTATTCGTATGATTGATTTGATGGGTGATTTTCCCATCTTCGCCGAAAAGTTCGTGTTACAACGATCATCTTCCAGTATATATTACTTTTCCTAATCTATAGATTACGTAACCTTTTCAATTATTATAAATTAACTTTTCCTGATTTGGAAGGCGACATTGAGAAAACAATTGAACAATTCAAAGCACTTGCTGATTATTTCCGTCCAATGACTATTGACACAATAGCTTACTTGAACCAAGCTATCATCGATGGTTCGAAAAAGATTCTCGTCGAAGGTGCTAATGCTACAATGCTTGATATTGACTTTGGAACATATCCATATGTGACTTCATCAAATTGTAGTGTCGGTGGTGCATGTACAGGCTTAGGCTTACCACCAAAACATATTGGCGATATTTATGGTGTTGTGAAAGCTTATACAACGCGTGTTGGTGATGGTGTATTTCCTACTGAATTGAAAAATGTAAGTGAAACTATTTTCAGTAAGAGAATTGCTTGATTTTCTTTGTTTTCATAGGAAATTGGTGAACATTTACAAACACGTGGACGTGAATGGGGTGTTACGACAGGCCGAAAGCGCCGTTGTGGTTGGCTTGATTTAGTTCTATTGAAATATACCAATATGATCAACGGTTTCACAGCATTATGTTTAACGAAACTTGATACACTCGATGAACTAGCAGAAATCAAAGTGGCCACAACATACAAAAGAAATGGAGTAGAACTAACAAGTTTTCCTGGTAAAAGAACTGTTTTCTCGAATAACTTTACTTGATAATCTCATTCGAACCTCTGTTTATTAACAGCATCAGTAGATACAATGCATGATATCGATGTTGAATATGTTACTTTTCCTGGTTGGCGTGGACGATCAACATCTGAATGTCGCACGTTTAATTCGCTTCCACACAATGCAAGACTTTATGTTCAATTTATCGAACAGTATCTTGGCGTACCAGGTTTGTAGAATTCATTTCGCTTCACATTCGATTGTTACTAAATGTTTCTTCTAGTTAAATGGATCGGTGTTGGTAAAGATCGCATGGCAATGGTCCGTGTGTTTTAAGAATCTCAACATATTCTTCATATGACAAAATTTCAATTGATAATTACAATGTTTTCTTGGAGTTTGTGAACCTCATTCACTTCCTTTTTTATCACGGATTGACAACGAATAACATAGTTAGATATCTCTTTATTTTCTCATGATCTGTAGTGTCTTTTTCCCCTTCCTATCAACCGTAATATAGCATTTGACATTTTTTCCTCTTCTTGATTTTCTTAGTCACCTCTATACACAAAAAACAATACATTTTACGAATTCGACGATTACTTCAAATATATATATATAAATTGACAAGGATATCTCATTTGTTATTACTTTGTCTGATACCATTGAGTAGACAAGTGAAATGATAATCTTATTATCAGTTAAAATTAAATCGAAATGACATTTTATCAACAGAATGTAAAAGTAATGCAATCTTTGATTCATCGAAGGATCCACTTCTGTTTTTCATTCAATACACTTTAGAAAGGATTATGTTTATAATGCGAATTAATATTCAAACTATTCTACTCGACGGTTGCCAACATGAAAATAATCATTTCATCATTATGTTCTTTCAATTTCTTAACCTAAATATTGTAATATCGAAGTACAATGAATAATTTACCATTTAATTTCAAAATGTGTACTTTTCTCTGATTCATAATCAACGTTCTCTCAATAGTGAAAGATTTGTACCTTATACAAAAGTACCACATCATCGCAAGCTGAAATGCATCATTTAAAGATTCTCTCTTGTGTTTTTATTCGTTGTCCTATCGTCTACGTAGTGAAGGACATGGAGAACAAGAAGAAAAGGTTTTCTAATCTTCTTTTCTACATAGACAAATGTTAAATATTAATGATGTTTCGATCTGAACTACACACATAGTCATAAGCAATTTTCTTCTACAATTGCAGATGACACTGAATATTTCCTCTGATTCAATTACTGGTGAGTTGTTTCGTAATCTCAAAAACATAAATCTAGCTGCGATTATAATATCTTTGCTATTCTTTGATTTGATATCGGAATACGTACTTTTTCGACATAAGAATACTTTATGATTATTATCAACATCAAGATAAAACAGAATACCGCTATAGGTATAATAAAATAAGAGACAAAAAGCCTGATTTTTTACACGTACGACATGCTACAGGTGCTGTGAAAAGGAATTCTTCTCTCTGAGTAGTGTGAAACTAATGTATTTCCTGTTCATCTTTAGAATAATCAAGTCATCCCTATCACACCATCACTATCGCCTTGTTCTTCTTCTCCTTCTCTAGCTGACAGTGATTTCATTCATCAACGTCACGTTCATCCATCTGCAACAGCATTAGATACCGTCGAACATCGACGTGCATCTATCGCATCAGTCGTTCATCCAGATCCGCTGGGTCCTGTCGCTCCTAACGATGAAGTCACATTGAAAAGACATCTCGGTCTATTCTCTGGTGTTTGTTTCATCATTGGTATCATCATTGGTAATCGAAATTGATGTTGAGTATGTGATATGGATAGTTATTGTGCTTAGGATCTGGTATATTCGTGTCACCCAAAGGTGTGCTAAGAGAAACACAATCCGTTGGTCTATGTTTAGTAATATGGATGGCATGTGGATCAGTATCTTTACTTGGTACGTTCTACCAGTTAAAAGACATCTTGGGTGTATGAAATTATACTTTGCTTAGGTGCACTCTGTTATGCAGAGATTGGCACTGTGATTCCACGTAATGGTGCAGAAGTTGCCTATATGAAGGAAGGTATATGATGAAGATTATGCGAAATAGTCGGATGAGTTTGATATTATTCTCTTCAGGTATCGGCTCATTACATGAACGAACAGGTGATATTCTAGGCTACTTATTTAGTTGGACAAACACACTTATTCTCAAGCCAACAAGTATCGCTGTACTATCTCTAACATTTTCTCAATATTTTCTATCTGGTATTATGGATGGTAGATGTGCATCTATACTTTCGATTTTGTAACATCATTAATGGGTGTACTGTTTAGACTGTGGACCACCGCAAGAACTTGTCAAAATGACGGCAGTCTTTGCTCTTCGTATGTTTAACTTCTGTCAGATTTAATGATATTTCCGTTTTATCTAACATTAGTGATGTTAATTAATGTCAACTCATTGAGTGTATCTGCAGCTAATCGTTTGAATATTCTTTTCGTCATTTGTAAAATATCGACGATTGTAACAGTGATCATCGCAGGTCTTGTACGCATTGGACAGGGTTTGTGGTTTTTATTGAATTCGAACGCATCAGATCTTTATCTTTATAGGACACACACAGAATTTACAAAATGGCTTTGCTGGTAAGAATGCCAGGTCTTGATTGATAAATTAATCAATCGAATACTCTCACTCTTAACAGGTACAACAAGTAAACCATTCGGTGTCGCACTGGCATTTTATTCTGGTCTTTGGGCGTACGACGGTTGGAATTCTCTCAATTCAGTTACAGAAGAATTAAAAAATCCGAAACGGTACAGTATTATCTTGACGAACTTTGCACAAAGCATTGACTACGACCATAAATGCATTCATTGATTGTATTAGAAACCTTTGGCTGTCAATCGTCTTAGCTCTACCTTTTGTTATGATACTTTATCTGCTAACGAATATCTCTTATTTTACTGTCATGAGTAAAGGAGCATTGCTCAGTTCAAACGCTGTTGCTGTGGTCTGTATGGATAAAACATCTACTCTCATTTGTATTGAATCTCATATCTTTATATAGACATGGGGTGAGACAGTACTAGGTCCTGCAGTTCGCGCTCTACCAATTCTAATTTCAATCAGTGCTTTGGGAAGTGCGAATGGTAGTTTGTTCGGAGCTGCTCGGTATTGCATGGTTAGCTCTCAATATGGATATTTACCAGAAGTGTTTGCATGTATTCACTCGAGACGATTAACTCCAGTACCTGGAGTTGTTCTACAGGTTTTACCTTGCTATTGGATATTCAATCAATTATCATGTTTCTTTTGCTCATTAAGGGTTTTTTTGCTATTGCTTTTTGTCTTCCAAGCAATATCGATAGTCTCATTGACTTTTTCAGTTTTGCAGCATGGATTTTCTATGGATTAACATTTACTGCTACACTTTGCTGCAAATTTACAAAGAAAAATGCGAACAGAGTGATCAGTGTATGTAATTTATTTCTTCGCTGTGAATTGAGCTAGAAGAACGAAACTATACTTTGTTATCTCGTTAGGTACCTCTTCCATTAAACGTCATTATCATATTGATTTCTATTTATTTGGTCGTTGCTCCGTTGATTGCAGCTCCAAGTATTGGATTCCTTGTTGCTGGTGCCTTGATTTTATTCGGCCTAGTTTTTTATTATCCATTCGTCTATCGCAAAATAGAATTGACCATTATCAGTAAGAGAAAAATAGTCTTACAAACAAAACATAATGAATCTAATTTATTTGTTCACTAGCAAAACTCAATGTTTTTCTCATTACATTCTTTGGATTGAAACGAGCACAAGTGAAAATTTAATGTTCAAATGAAGTATTTTATACGACGATAAACACTTGGACATCTGTCTGGATTTTAAAAACTTTTTTCCAATGTATTCTCTATTAACATCAGTAAAAATTATAAAACGTTTAGAGACAAATCATTTTGCATTTTTAATGAAGAACTTGGGTTAAACAGCGTGCATTTATTTTCAAAAACAAGAATCACACACTGATTATAATTTATCCTTTTCAGTAGTCGTTGTCATTGTTCTGAAGACACGGCATCACTGCGGCGTAGTGCAAGTGAAATGCCACATACGAGAAAATGTCTTCAACTCTTCTTTTCTCTTTACCATAAATGTTATACGGTGATAGTGCCATGTTGCAAATCAAATCTAACATCACTTCAAATAACCTTTCACTTTGAGGTGAATTCAGATAGCGGCAAGAAGAAAATTTTTGGTACGTCGCAGATATATGTTGGATTGTATTGACCAGATACATACTTATTTAGCTACTATGACAAAACGTACTAGATCCCATCGAGATGTCTCTCTTGTATCTGTTACTCATCCAGATCCACTGGGTTCTGTCGCTCCTAACGATGAAGTCACATTGAAACGGCATCTCGGTCTATTCTCTGGTGTTTGTTTAATCGTCGGCGTTATCATTGGTAATCGTAATTGATGTTGAGTATGTGATATGGATAGTTATTGTGCTTAGGGTCTGGTATATTCGTGTCACCCAAAGGTGTGCTAAGAGAAACACAATCAATTGGCTTATGTCTGATTATTTGGGCTGCGAGTGGATTGATTTCCACGCTTGGTATTGATTATATAATGGAAAAAAAAGTTCATTAGATGATAATATTGCGTTCTTTTAGCGGCGCTTTGCTATGCAGAGATTGGCACTCTAATTCCACGTAATGGTGCAGAAGTTGCCTATATGAAAGAGGGTATAGTGTATAGAAAAACCCAGCATGAATCCTATTTCAGAGAAAAAGTAAAACAGAATTTATTTCGGGTAGGTATTGGGTCAGTGCATCGACGAACAGGTGATGTACTAGCATATTTGTGTGTGTGGTCAAATACATTTATCATCAAACCATCCACGATTGCCGTTCTTGCTCTCATTTTCTCTCAATATTTCCTATCCGGTATCATGAATAGTAATATTCCTATCATCGATAGAACACATTCCATCCGTAACTTTCTACATATTTAGATTGCCAACCAACAGACGAAATGGTTAAGTTACTAGCAATTTTAACGCTTTGTAAGTTTACTACTAGTCTATAGCATTATTCGTCTGACCCGTCTACGCTAATTCTAGTAATATTAATCAACGTCAATTCACTTAGTGTATCGATAGCAAATCATCTGAATATCGTTTTCGTCATTTGTAAAGTGTTAACCATCTTGACAATTGTCATTGCTGGTTTCGTTAGAATCGGACAAGGTTTATCTTTTTTTTGCTTATTGCTTAATTAACAAAAACCAAACGTTTCCTAGGATACACACAAAATTTGAAAGATGGTTTTGCCGGTAGAGAACAATTATTATCGATTGGTTGAAGAAGATTATAATCTTTTGATTGAAATAGGCACAACAAATCGACCGGCAGGCGTGGCATTAGCATTTTATAGAGGACTCTTTGCGTATGGTGGTTGGCATGTATTAAACTCGGTTACAGAAGAACTCAGAAATCCAAAAAGGTATGTCAAACTCACGATCTACTTACAATAGAAGTTGATCATGAAATAACAAACTTCTCTTTAGAAACCTGTGGTTGTCTGTTACATTAGCTCTACCTACTGTTACTTTACTCTACGTTTTTATTAACATTTCATATTTTACAGCTATGACAAAATCAGAATTACTTGCTTCTAATGCAGTTGCTGTCGTATGTAGAAAGCATTATTGTCATACTTTATAGGTGATGTTCTACTACGTATAGACATGGGCCGAAGCAGTGCTTGGTCCTGCTGTTCGTGCACTACCAATTTTGATTTCGATTAGTGCACTGGGTAGTGCTAATGGTTGCTTGTTTGAAGCAGCTCGATGTTGTATGGTTGGTGCTCAATATGGATATTTACCAGAAATATTCGCTTGTATTCATGTTCAACGATTGACACCTCTACCCGGCGTCATTCTACAAGTGTGTCTAGTCATAGAATTTGAATTATTCTAATCATTGCTGTTTGATAGGGTTGTGTGGCGATTGCTTTCTGTATTCCAAGCAATGTCTATGCGTTAATAGATTTTTTCAGTTTTGTTTGCTGGATATTCTATGGATTAGCGTTTACTGCTACACTTTGCTGTAAATTTACAAAAAGAGATGCCAGGCGTACCATCAATGTAAGTAATTGATTGAATTAGGAGAAAAATGAGTTGGTGCAAATGATATTTAGGTTCCCATACCATTTATCATCATCATGATTTTAGTTTCGATATATCTAGTCGTTGTTCCGGTGGTATCATCTCCAAGTATAGGATTTCTTATTGCAGGACTTATTATTCTCTTTGGACTAATTTTTTATTATCCATTCGTCTATCGGCAAATCGAATTACGCTTTATCAGTAATAGAACTTTTTCATCATTTTTACATATCAATGCTTTTATTTTAGACGAGATAAATTCATTTTTGCAAGAATTTTTCAAACTACAACGAGCACAGATCCACATCTAATACACACACACATATATATCTAGCTAGTTTCGATACATGTGTCCGTAGTTCATTTTCAAACGAATAAAATTCATTTTTTTCTCTCTTCTCCTCGAAGTTGGCAAGCAGGTAATGTTGTATTTTTCCATTCCCTATTCTGGCATCCAATATCAATAATCGACAAAGACGAATCAACTAAAACTGCATTTTTGTTACACGAATATCTTGCTAATGTATAATATTTGACATTATTATGCACAACAAAAGATTCTGCACTTTTCCAACCGTTTTCAATCATGTCAGGCATTGGTTCCAGACAACCCGATGCTAAACAAAAGACAATAAATAGAAAACGAGAAGATGTCAATAATACACGTACGGATACATCGAGGTCGCGGTCCCCATCGACCGTTTCGACACTGAATATGCAAGGGACCAGATTGACGATCGTGAACAAAGTTATCCAAACATTGATATGTAGCACGACTACCATCATCATAGTATCCGTCAGTAGTTAATTTTGCATTGATTCGCGTTCGAGCATTCGGAATAGTTATTCCACTTGAACAACGACGCTTGAATGGAGCTAGAAATAGATCTTTACGTCAAAATATTCTATTCAAACAAGAGTTTTATGACAAACCAATGCACGAGACTGGTAATGCTGACCATTGTCCATTTTCCATGCATGTCATATTAAAAATGGAATTTTCGTTATTGATTTTATTGACACAATTTAGAAGGACATATGATCCAGGTATTGCTTCGTTGGTTGAAGCGTCAAATACATTAATCATCGAATTGATAATCGAAAGTCGAGAGATGTCAATAGGTAGTGGAAGTGAACATCGAGGTTTTTCTTTGAGAAAAGATATGATAGATGACTGGCTATTTAGAACGGATGACTCTCTTACCAATGCAAATGGTTTTCGGATGAAAAACACCATTTTGACAAGTCAGTCGAAATGGTTCGTGTTCATTTGTGTCACTCATGAAACCCAATTGACAAACATATAAAAGTGAACCAGAGTAAGTGGTTTCGTTATTCGAATTTGATTTGATTGTATCGTCACTTAACAATAGAGCATTTTCGATCTGTGGTAATTGTTTACACTGGGATAAAATATGCCGAACGCGACGATCACTAGCACCTTTGGATTGAGTAGATGAAGTCATCGTTGCATTTGAATCATTTATTATTGTAACATTTTCATTGCCATCGAGTGTATTATTGTATTCAGCTGTTGTATCAGACATGATTGTTGTCGAAGTATCAACTGGTACTTCTTCCGGCAACTGACGTAATTGGCACATGCTTGCATTTATTGCATCTAATGACCATGTTCCATTTATTAAACAGATCGTATAACTTGATTGATTCAGTAGAGATTCATATCCTGACTGACATCTGTAAGTTAGCTTAGTATCAACTTCGTAAGTTACATTTAACGGTGATTGAACTAGATCAGCATTTGTTAGAAGTGGAATATCATTCGAATCACAAGTAATAGCATGAACAGTACTGAATACAATAGTGTTACTCATAGTTTCGGCTTGAATCGATGTCTCGGTTGCATTTTCCGTTAAAAGAACTAAGTTATCACTTGATTCCGAAGATTCTTCAGCGACTGTGTCGATGGCTGATAAAATACAATACAAACGTATGTAGAACAGATTAAAATCGTGTTATTGTTTTACCACGACATATAGGAGTCCCAGTCCAAGTGTTTGTACTACGCTGACATCGAATTGTCAAAGATGGACTGGATGGATTATGTTCAAAATTCGGTAAACACTCTCGAAGAACATAAGAATTGTAAACAAAAGCCTGTGGATCGCGAATGTATTGCAACGATACTAAATGAAGAATAAAGAAGTGAATTACGGTGTTACACTTCCGAATACTCACCATTATAAACATAAGAATTTTCTGCTTGTGACTCTATAGTCAATAGATCTTGTTTTTGACATGTAGGCATTTCTGAAAAGAATCCAAGTCGATCTTTAGTACTATTTACACCGGTCTTTGATCAATACCTTGACAATCCGTGACGTTAGTCCACGAACCATTAATACATTCGCTGATGATTTGATCTTTCTCATCCAATGTCTCAAAACCATAATTACATTCATAAACGATTCGACCCGTATATGTTTGATCTTCCCAAATCGTCACGTTATAAACAGCCATATATCCATTTTTGATATAAATAGGATAACTGCATCGAACTGGTTGTTCAGCTTGATAAACAACTAAACATATTGTGTTCGAATAGAAATATCAATATTCGTTATCTTACATTCACAAACTGGTAATGCAGACCATGAGCCTGATTCCAAACATTGAACAATTAATGATGTTTGATCACCGTGTAAACGATAGCCCTCGTCACATGCATATTCTAGACTACTTCCAACCTATAAGGTAAGAAAGTTCTATCAATAATTTTCTTTAAACAGAATAAAATTTCGTTCAATTGCACGATGACTTCAATATGATCGTATTCATTTTCAGATATTCTGATGGGAATTAGCGTCATTTTTATCAATTATACAAAATGATTAGCTCGCTTCGCTACGATCGACGCAGTACTATTGAATAATAGAAAGGCCTAATCATATTAACAATTAGTACATTCATAACCAAATAAGTCATGCTAATGACAATGATCCAATGACATTACTTCGATCCATTGACTCAGCAAACTTACCGCATGAAGTTGTCGATCATGTTCGGAAAATTTCAAATCCATCCGTATGATACGTGATCCAGCTGGTAGATACAACTTTGAATAATTACATAATCCTTGAACATCTACAATACACTTAAACAGTTGAATCAGACAAAAAAGAGCCATGTCACAAGTTGTTTACGTCTGCAACTTGGCATTGGCGTCCATGATCCCTCATTTTGACATTGTATAGTTAAAGATCCCTCCGACGCTGGATCAAGTTCATACTTATCTTGACAGCGTATAGTGACGGTTGAACCAGCGATGATTTGTTGAGGATCATTTTGAAAATAAGTTATATTATCCGATACAACAATTGTATTTCTTGGATACGTTTGAATTGGTGGACACCGTCGTTTTGCTAAAAGACAAATAAAATCAATAAAAATGAATTCCAATAGAATCAGACAAAAGTTTACGAATGCATTGAGTCATTTTTGACCAGATGCCATTTTGACATGTGACAATTTTATTTCCAAGAAGGTTATAACCCGATAAACACATATATTCCATACTACCCAAGTAGCCTTTTCCAGTATAATACGACACTCGATCACGTTTAATAATTCCATTCGTTAACTTCGGTGGTGAACTTTTGCAATACAATAAACTCTCTAAAAAACAATTCTTTTCAATATGCAGGATAAAAAGCATTGTTTCCTATTTACCATCAATGTCAGCCAAACATATGGAAAATATGTAGGTACAAACAAAGAATTGCAATAGCATCTCTCCTTTAGTTTTGAGCAAGGCGAATAGACGATGAAATGTTGTATAGACTGCTGTATATATTATTCCTCATTTGCGCTAGTTCGTTCGATTGTCAAGAGAATTACCCAACGAGACATTTTTCTCTCTCGAATGGAAATTAATCAATACAGAAGAGAGGAGAAAAACAGTATTATAGTGCATATTTTAGAACTTCGATACCAATCACTGCATGACTTTTTTTCGACGTGCAATGGCAACAGTCCATCCACTCGAAAGATTAGATAATCATTGAGAGGAAGGCGAAACATATCAGTCATATTTTGTTCTGTAACTCATAATCTAATTCACCAATAAAATTTCAATATATTGCCTTTACGATGAATCAGCTGATAGTTTATCTTAGTGGAAGAGTAATAGCGAGGTTATTTCCAACAATGATTGCAAAGGGAGCTTTTCATGACGCGCAAAAATATTCTCCACTGAAAGACGTATTTTCAAGCATGGTAAAAAGAAAAAGAAAGGAAGAAAACATTGTAAGGTTTACTATTCGTCTTGTCATTTGAGTTTCTTTTTCTTCACACAAAACAGCCATGTCAAACACAAGTGTATGCGTATTTCATGAATGATTGTCATTCGTTTGAATTAAACAATTCTGTTTTAGATTATTCGAGTTCAATCACCGGATGGAACGAAAAGAATTACTATCACTTCGCAAGATACATTCAAAAGTCTGTATGAGAAAGTGAGACAACGATGTTTTTCACAGGCAAAATAGACTTTATAAATATATTCGTATAGACAGCGGAGGCATTTGCGTTCTCGTCGTACGAACAATTTACTTTATATAAAGAACAAAATAAAAAATCTCCATTACAGCCGACGAAACTACCAATAAATCTTCGGTTTTTTATAGAACAACACGCGAATATTCCTATTTCATTCTTTGTTTTTAAGACATGGTGATCTTGTTTATTTCGTATCGAAACAGAGCAATGCTCAATCGAATCCGATATCATCATCATCAACAGCAACACATATTGATTTCTTGTCGAAATTAATCGATCGCGAAGAAGACGATGTTGATAAACAATTGGATATAGTTGACGGAAGGATTCCACGAGAAAAAAATCCACAACTGTAAAAAGAAATTTTGGTATTTTTAAAAGACAAACTCAGAAATATTTCCATGTTTTAGATGTCACCATGGCGCACATGGCAAATGTTTACATTGCATACCAATAGAACCTTACGATGAAGAATATTTGAAAAATCATAATCCTCCTATAAAACACATGTCATTTCAGAGTTATCTCAGGAAACTACAAAACTCGACGAACAGTGATAAGTAAAAGAGAAAAACGAACTATTTTCGAGTGATTTTTCTTCTTCGAATTGATAGATTTTCCAGTTTGAAGAATATTAGCTGTTCAGTAAAAGAAAAATGTTCTGCAGGCCACGCACCATGGCCCAAAGGTAAGAAAAGCTATTCTGATCGAAAATGGATTTTAAATGACAGACATCCATAGGAATATGTACAGCGTGTCAACCTAGTTCTGTTACACTTATGCGACAAGTAAA